CCCCCCCCCCCCCCCCCCCCCCCCCCCCCCCCCCCCCCCCCCCCCCCCCCCCCCCCCCCCCCCCCCCCCCCCCCCCCCCCCCCCCCCCCCCCCCCCCCCCCCCCCCCCCAAAACGCATGAAATTCTCAGCAGGGAAGACAAAATTAAAAAAAATGATTCTTAACTTTTTCGTGGCGCTCTGCCAACTAGAATGAAATAATAAAAGTGGCTCAGTCTGATGACGAAAGATGCTGATAGGATTGGTTTGCAAACTGACACACAGTGTGCAGAAATTGCTGAAACATCCGAAATCTCCAAACCTAATATATGTTTATAAATTACAGGTTTTCTGTCTTGAGATGTCTATTAGCAGCATTTTTGAGATCACCTGATCTCGTTATTTTGATCAATTAGAAATAATTATGAGTTTCTTTCACGTTTCCTTAGCTAATATGATACATTTACATTTATTTTCGTCACTCCTCTTCTTTATTAGTACTAGTGCGATGATATTTTAACAATTCTATTTGCGATTATACTACTACTAATCCACACACCTAATTTCACTTCTATAATTAACTATGACACCATCTAAGACTTCTGTAAATATTAAATCTCGTTCAACATACAAGACGTAGTATGTCTTTACTCAAACCGCTTCAAACTATGGCGCAACTAATTGATAATCAAAAAATTTCTAATATAATGCGATAATATTTGAAAGATGGAAGTATCAAAACGGATATTGCTGAAATTGTTACAAGTCACAAGGGGGATAGTGACTTGATGCGGATAATATAATTAAAGTTCTGTTCGCCCCAGTTTTAGAAGGCGTTTAGATTGATTAGACGACCACATTTGAGCTTTGAAGAGAAAACTGAACAAATACTTGTGAAAATAGATGACATGGAACGCCGATCACGCTCTTATAATCTTCTGTTCTTCGGTATGCATAAAAACGAAGATCCAAAGAAACAATTCGTGAACATCGCTAAACTAATGGACGTTCAATTTCATGCTAGTGATATCGAGGTGGTTCAACGAAACCGATGCCGTAAAATCCGGTTAGCCAACACCTGTCGTAGCATGCTTTTATTCTCGGGAGGCACGACTTGTTTTATTGTCGAAACGAACACAACCCTATAAAAAAAGATTAATATGGCAGAGCCTGCTGACAAGCCTGCAGATTCAGTTCCAGCAGATAAAAGTCTCGCGAGCAGACCTGTGCGGGTCTGCACGTGTTGAAGAAGTATTGCGGACAATGGATTTGGAGAAATGTCAAAATACAATTATTGGTGTACCAGGCAAATTAAAAGGTATCAGTGGTGGTGAAATGAAACGTTTGACATTTGCAAGTGTGATATTGAATGATCCTTTTGAAATAATTTTTGAAGAAACCATTTTCTAGACTCAAAACACATACCGTTGGATGCGTCCTGGCGAGTACTATCTACACACATGATATGATATTGAATGGAGGGAAAAAATAAAACAGTGGTATCCTCCCTATGGAAAAAGATTAATGTGGCAGAGCCTGCTAACAAGCCTGCAGATTCAGTTCCAGCAGACAAAAGTCTCCCAGCAGACCTGTGCGGGTCTGCCAGGATGTTTCATGCAAACCCGGACAGCAGCAACCGCGGATGCAAGCGCAGTACCCGTCAGTGTTATTAAAATCATAACTCCGCATATCAAAAAGTAGTTTCGCATATTCGACATGAAATATACAATACTCAGAAATATGATAGTTATGACGATAAAGTAGGG